AAACACTGCATTTAATATTTGTATTTTGGAATGCACATAGTTATCAATAACAAAGGCTTTTGTGGATTTAGCTTAAAATAATCAAAAATGCGTATCAAAAAGGTAAATAAATTCATAGAATTCTGCTTATTTTGACTAATTACTACGCCGAACTGCACAAGCGAATTAGCAGGAATTTAGCAAAAAAAAAAAAAACCCTGAGAAACATCATCAGGTAGCCACAGCCATGCTAATGATCCAAGATATCTTTTCCCCCCACTGTTTTCAATACCAATTCCAGTAGCCGCCAACTCAATTAAGGGAAAGGTGAACGGAGAGCGGAGTGCGGTGGAGCTGTGAGGTGCGGCACAAGGCAGGTAATTCAGGCGTGACAATCGCTTTTTTTGCAAGTTGGTCAAGAAATGCCATCACGTCAGACGTTTTTCCAGCTCTACAACGCATTTGGAATGCAAAAAAAAATAATAATATTTAAATAAACAAAGCGTAAAAGCCATAAATACAAATTAATTAATATTCCCTAACCGTGGTGAGTCAGTTTATAGCTGTACTTTAGCCTCAGCTTCTAGCCACCTGCATTTTGAATGCAAGCAAAACACAAATACAATTACAATAAATAAGAGATTAATCATCAAATATTAATTGATATTCAACACAAGTTTGTCTTTTCTCTTTGGCTCTCCAACTATCAACGCTTTATGGAAATATTTACAAATATTTTCGGTTCAAAGAAGAAATAAATTGGCCTGGAAATAAAAACCATTGCCGGCAGAAAAAAGAATTTTAAAATTTTTAGAAAAATACATTTATTTTCTGCAAATGTTGGCGAAAATTTTTCTGTAACCAAAACCAATGACGAGGTCGTTCAGGGGTTAAAAAAACTACAAACTCGTGCCAACTTCGTCATCAGTCAGCAAATGTTATTGAATTTTTATTGTGTCCAATGCGTTATCTGTCCGAGTGTGAGTTTTTTGTGTTGTGTATCTGTGTGTTTCATTTAAATGTTGAGGAATTCTCACTCATTCACTCGCTGGTTTTGTTTAAACAGCTGCGAGTTTTTAAAATCCACCGACACCCACCTCAAAAAAAAAATGAGAAGAAAAGAGAGAATATAGTGCATAAACACAACTACAGATATGTATACACAGAGGGAGATATAAATTCAACCCATGCAAGTTATAAATTCAAACTGCCAAAGCATCAAGCTAAACAAAAAAATGTGAAAATATAACTTTAAAGGATGTTTTGTGAACTAAAAAGGGCTAGATTACTCGTAACAAAGTCAAACAGTAGATAAAACAAAGTGTTTATATATCAATATTATTAGATATCATAGAAGATATAAATATATTTAAAAAGAAACTAATTTCTATTATCATTTTGAGAGGAAAAACTTGTATCTTTTAGTTCTCTTTAAATATAATAAATATCTACGACTTTAAAAATAATTTTTTAACAATCCTTCTTAAGCTAAAAACCATTAATATAACTAATGTTTTATTTTGGAAAGGTAACCTTTCTGTTCATTATATTTTTACATTCAATATGCTTCGAGATCCTAGCAAATTCTCAGACAAAACCCTGGCATATTTCCACACTTTTTCCATTTTCAATTTCAATAACATTTTATTGGTTTCCCCAACAAGGATTCCTCTTTACCGAACAAAAAATGTCACAGTTATTGCCTCAATATAATTCCTATGAAATTCTTGAAACATTTTCAAACTTTTAGTTATCGTCGTCCGGTTTCCCTTTTTTCTTTTGTTTATTTATCTTTCAACTTTCCTTTTGCTTATCAATATTTCCACAACAGACACTGAAATTCCAGCTAACTAAACCAATTTATTGTATCCAAAAACCAAATACAAATCCAAATCCCCTTTGCCACTGCCTCTGGCGGCAGCTTTTACTCTTTGTATACTTTTTCCCCTTACCGCTCCCTTTGCCAGTTTTCCATGCAATCCAACTTTGATTTTGCAAATGCAAATTCTGAATATATATAAATTTCCCAGTGCTACTGCTGCTGGAAAAGCGTTTCTCATTTCCACTCCGGTGTCGGTGTCTCTGCAGATGCAGCTGTTGCTACACTAGCCCCTATCTACCGTTATTTTTTGGGGGCAACACACACACACACACACACATATATATATTTCCGCACACGTCGCTGAATTTAGCACGTAAAAAATGTTTGAAACAAACAAAATATTTGTTTAATTTATTTTAATTTCAAAGTTGCAGCAGTTGCAGATATTTTTTGGTAGCGAAAAAGGATGGAAAAAGGTGAATTTGCCACAGGCTGTGTGTGTGGAAAAGGATATACACAGAGAAAATCTTTAATATAATTAAAAGTTTAATTTAATTAAATTCAAAATAAAATTAATGAAGTTTTTGTATGATAAATATTCCACAAAATTAAGTTTTTTATAAAAAAAACCTCTTTTTTTGTTATATTTATTTTTTAATCTAATGAAAAGTGTATTTAAAAATACAAAATATTAATTAAAATCTTTCTTTAAGTGCATCAAAAATAACAAAAACAATAGGGACCATAACAACTCCGGAAAAGTGGGAAAAACTAAGCCACAATCATAATTCACGCGCTTGAAACACGAACAGTAAAGCGGCGCAAAAGGAGATACTACTAGTTGGTAAAAACTAAGGGATGGGCGGGAAAATTAGGGGAAAAAGAAGTTTTAGGAGCCGCCGGCGGCAGGCACTTGGTAGAAGCCAGGAAATGAAATGAATGTGGAAAAACTCAAAGGGAAAACCGAGCACAGAAGAAAGTGAGCAGGTAGACAGACGACAAACAACGACGACGAAGGCATAAATAAAACAAAGCTGCAAAACGAAAATAAAAACCAAAGGCAGGAAAATAAACATAAAAACCCAAAGGAAACGCACACTCGCACACACACAAATTGTTATGTGGGGAAGAGAGACAGGTATAACGACATTTCAAGCACTTCTCAAGCAATATCCTGCGTTTTCTCCTTAAGCATTTCACTGCAGACACACTTGCACACACAGGATTTTCCAAGGAAAACTCAGCCAAATTGGAAGGCACTTCAAGGATCAACGGGGAATCAAAGAAAAGGAGAAGGGCAGAAGGACATCACAAGTGCGCTGCGTAAAAATAAACCAAGGAAATGTGGTTGAAAAACTGGGGAATTTTGTGTGTGATATTTGAAATTGATACGAGACTGATATCTAAAAGGTCTGAAAAGAATCATAAGCTACACGAATTTTCCCATGAAATTAATATTCCTTTTTATTTCACACTGTTTTTTCCTAATTATTCGAATTAAGCCTCGCACTTTTCCTATTCCTTGCTAATCTTTTAATGTGTTTTTAATGCCAGTGCCCTCTTGGCTGCCCCCTTGGTGGCTGTCATCAAATCTTATAATGCCCCCGAGTTGAGCAATTCCCAAGAAGCTAGCTTCGGGGCCGAGAAAACAAAATAAACCCTCCGCTGAGAGTTCATTGATTTCTGAATCTGCCGACTTTTGATTCTGAGAGGCGCGTTCGTTGACAGTTAAGCCGAGGAGTGAACTTTTACGAGTGGCAGTAGTTGTTGCCTCTATAAAAGCCAGGGAATTACGGCGAAAAAGAAACGCATGTCAAAGGCCCAATTAAGATGTCAAATCAACACGTTTTATTTATTAAATGATTACGCACACACACACACAACACACAAAGTGGCAACGGTTGAAAGAGGGAAGCGCCATCAAGTTAATGGTGCAATATATCTTTAGAGGGGAACGGGAACCAGTCAGAACGGAAAAAGGGGGGCGACGACGACTAATCACAGACAAATTAATAAAAAAAAGGAATTGCTCGCTCCCCCTTGTTTTGTTCCCTTGACCGATTTAACCGACTGAGTGGATATAATTCACATTTAAATTTAAGCCCAGGCCTTTGATATTTCCCCGCTCCGCGCTTTTCGTGGGTTCTTTAAGTATTAAAAAGCATTTTGTAAGCAAACTTGTATATGAGAGAAGGCAGAACAAAGTTTGGTGAAGCGTGCCAAACTAAAGTTTTCCTTATAGCCTTATGCTACCCGCCGCCATCAGCTTTTCCACCTACCCTCGATATTTGTTCCACTTTTCTTCTCCAAGGAACAGTAGGTATTCCTTGAAATGTATTAGATCTAGGTACAGTTTAAGGGATATTAAAGGAGTCTTAAGTTGGGAGCCTCAAGGATAGGAGCCTGACACCAAAATCAGACTAGAAACATCCAAGTTAATCTGTTTTTTAACATTTTTTCATGATTTATTTATATTTAACAAGAATTTAAACATGTTTTTCTAGGGAATTCCCTTTATATTCCAAGTTTCATTTATGGAATAGCCACTGTGTCTCAAGTTTGGTTTTAATATCGAGAACAGTAAATGCTGCCAATTGACAGGAGCCAAAGTGAGAGCGTGGGAGAAAACAAAGAAGATAGGGTGCTGGGAAATGAAGGCTGAGAATAAGGTGGGAAAAAAGGGGGAAAGTAGAGGCTTGAGGAGCAATATAAAAAACTTTATGCTGACGTCAAGGCAGCAGCAGCAGCACAACAGGAAGAAAGTTCAACAAAAAACTAAAGTGACGTTGCAAGGTGACAACAGCCAAAGCGACAGGGCAAAGCATCCCATGATCATCGTCTAGGGGGGGACGAGATTTTATGGGGTGGGAAAATGTGAAAAAAATATAAGACTTCCCCCTGTCATAAGCAGGAGAAGTCAAAAACGGAGGAACTGAAACTTTTAATTGATTTGTGTCGTCACCAAGCTATGCGTGTGCCGAAAATGTAAACAGAAAGGGACTAGAAAATGTTAGGGAAGGTAAGATGGAAATTGAGGTGTTTAAGTCCTAAATTCACTTGTTTTATGAAGAATCTCTCTTAAGGTATATTCGCAAATTAATATTCTCTGAATTTCTTATCATATTTATATTTACCTCTGATCTTCTTATCAGTATTTAAAAAAAACAAACCCAAACAAAACAAAGTACGAGAAACTCACCGATAAGAAAAAAGTGCCAAATGCTTAGCGCTGTTGTTGCTCTCCTCGCACTTCTGCTCCTGCTGTCCGTTTTTCGCCTCATTTTGTCACTTTTGCTGTGTTGTTGTTGTTGCTTTAGTGGCTCCTTCTGCTACGTCTAGTAGCTATTCTATGTTTTCCTTTAGTTGTTGTAGCTAAAGTTTGGTTATTATCGTCGCTTCCGTTTCTTGCCAAAACTGCAGTTGACGTTTTGTCTTGAGCAACAAAGAGAGAGAAGTTTTGCTATTTACTCCAGCTCCTCCTTGAACTGCGGCTTCGATAACGGTAGTTGACACGGCGGCTCTCCTTCGCGTCTCCTTCTCTACCTGCGTTCGTTGTTGTTGCTGTTGCCGCTGCAACGCTCCATTGCGTTGAATTGTTTTTGTTTTTTAACACCACATCAAATATTATTATTTTAAGCACACGATATTTGATTTAAAGTTGTTTCTTTATTTTATATGCTTATCCGAAAAACGAAGGAGAATAACTGAAAAATCAAAGGGGTAAATAGAAACTGAGATTAGTGATTTTGAGGGGTTTTTGGTATTATTTTTTATGATTTTTTTAAGTTTAAAAAATGTATTTAAATTTAAGGTATAGATTTTTTGGGTTTCTTGGTTTATTTCTGAACTTATTCACAGTTTTCTTTTGTTTTTCACAAGCATAAACTTTCTTACACTGTATTTCCTATATTTTTCTTCAAGTGTAACTTTTTTCTTGCTTTATTTTGGTTTTCTTTTGTGTGTTTATTACTTTATTTCAATATTTGTGTCGCATTTCTTGCACTTCTGTTTCGCTCTTTTTCCACCTTTTACTTTATTGTTCACTTATTTCTGTTTCTTCACATATTCCTTTTTGGCCTTTTCTTGATCTCTGTTTCTCACTGATCTCTCCTGTTTCACAGTTATAATTGCATCTCTGCTTTACACTCACACATGCACACACACTGTTTTCTTGTTATTTTTGTTGTTGCTTAGAGTTGCAACATGTTTCTTTTATTTTTCTTCATTTCGTTTTGTTGTTTTTGTTGTAACAGGTAAGAAAAGCGCTTGAAAGGCTTCCAAGAAACACGGCACACACACACACGCACACAGGCAAACCTGTTTCTCAGGTAAAGGTGTTCGAGGGAGAGGGGCGATCGCCAGAGACGCCGTGATCGAGGATTGTTGATAGGCGAGGAGGGAAAGAGAGAACCGATGAAGCGGTGACGCAGCTGCCAGCTGCTGGCAGAGATGCTGCGACTTCTTCGTCTCTGCCTTGCACCTTCTTCTTATTCACGGAGTTTTAACTGTTTGTTTTAGTGGATTTTCACAATATATTTTTAAGAGATTTTCTTGAATTCTGTATGGTTTTATCTTGGGTTGTTTCTTCTAATTTCTTAGACTTTTCTGGCTTTTGGTTTCACGGCTAATATCCAGTTTCCAGTTTTGTTTTCTATGCACTACACACTGTTTTTTTTTTTACACTTGTTAACTTGCATACCTTAAGCTTAGGATTTGCTGCCGCTTTTGTTGTTGCCAAACAATGCGATTTTGTTATTATTGCTCACACACACGAAAATTCAGCGGAAAACCCGGCGGAAAAACCAAGCGACGCGCTCTTGCCTTGTTTTGTTGAAATTCGAAAACAGAATTCCAATAAATCGAAGAAATTTAAAAAATAATTTTTGTGTTTCTTAGTGTAAGATATTAAGTCGGTTGTCCATTTTATCAACGCGCAGCACAGAACGTCTCCGATTCGCTTTTCAATTCAACTAAAAACATTAAACAAAGAGCAAGACACGAACGGGCCTGCAGAGCACGAGCCGACGAAACTGAACACGAACGAACGTGAGCCGACAGAGAAACTCTCTCGCAATTCAAAGAGTATTCATATTGCTTAAACGAAAACCGGTTTCCCTTAGATTTGAACAAAACTCAAAGATTCGTACGTTTTTCTGAGCTGAAATATCTGTTTTGAACTGCTTTAGTTTATTCCGGGGAAATCGGCAACGATATACTACTCAATTTAATTTTTAAAAATCAACACTAATTTCCTTTAAATACTGAAATTTTTTTTATATTTTTTGGTTTCGATTTATGGCTAGTATGAATTTAATTAATTAATTAATTCATGTTCATGGTCATGTTAACTACTCTACACGCTAACAGAATAACAGCGTAAAATTCGTTGGTTAACATTTTTTTGGGGTCGAATTCTCGTTTTTGGGGTCGAATTCTCGTTTTTGGGGTAGAATTCCCATGTAGAATGTTAAAATGTAGAGAGAGAGCTGTTTGTTTGCTTCGGCAACCAAAAGAGAACCAAAGAGACGCGACGAGTTCGAAAATTCGAAAATGGAATCTTACTCTCCGAGGGCTAACAGCAGAGACTAACAGCGACATTTTGTATGGGCAACAGTGCGAGAGCGCAACTCTGCTTCGTGCCCAAGAGAGGGTTCGAAAGAGAGGGATGGTAAGTGGTAAGAGCGGGGGGAATCAGCAACATGTTGCGTTTTTCGAGCGGTTTGCGGGCGTTTTGCCAGCGACTTTGGCTAAAAACTTGTTTTCTGTCTTTGCGGCCAACAAGAAAAACCAGTCGGCGGCGGCAAGAAAAAAATAAGTCCAGCAACAAGTCAACAACGATCAAGCAGTGCAGCCAGGGGCAATGCGTTAGAAAGAGAGAGCGAATGAGACAGAGCTATAGCGATATGCAACAAGTTTGAAGTTGAAGAAACTTCGTCAAGTTTGCTGTCCCGCTCTTACCCCTTTCTTAAGTTTGCTGTTAACGATCTACATCTACTTTTAACCAGTTTTTTTTCTTGGCGAGTAAAGGAGTGAGGGAGTAAGGGGGTAAAAAAAAGAGTGGGAGAGGCAGAGGTTTTCAGGTTTTCAGGTTTTCAAGCTCTTTAAGTTCAAGTCTCCAATTCTTGGCTCTCTCTCTGATTCTTCTTGCGGTTTTTTCGCCTGTTTGCTTAGGCTGCCGTTTCTTCAACGCTCCTTCTTCTTCGTCTTCTTTGCCTCCTCCTACTTCTTATATTTACTCCTCCCCCCTCCCCTTGTGCAACATAACCTGTTTGCTTGGAAACATGTTCTTTTTTGACCGAAAAGCTCGTGGCTATGAAACTTTTCGGCTTTAAACCTTTTCTCAGGTTTACTTTTTTTGTTAAACCTTTTTTGTATTTATTTTTGTCTTTGTGACCACACCCACGCTTCTAATTTTAAATTTTTGTGGCAAAATTACCAAGGTTTTTGTTTGTTTTGTAGAATTGCAAATATAAAATTCTTAAAATTTTTTAAATATTTTTCAATTTGTTTGGTTACTTTTAATTTAAATTTTTTAATTGAATGTTTTTTTTAATCTTCTTATTTATTACCTTTTTTAGCCTTAATCTTTAGGTAATTCCAGTAATCTTCTAAAAAAAACAGTTTGGGGACCTTGTTTTGGTTTTTTCATTTTCAGGGTCCTTCTTATTCTTATTCTTTGTTCTCAGTTTTCAGCTCTCTTTCTGATCCCTTTCTGCTCCCTCTCCTTTTTCTTAATCTTTAGCAGCTTCTGATGTTTTTGTTTTCGTTTGGGTTTTCTTTTGTGTTTATTTTTTGGGATGTCTTGATGTCCAATCAGAGGATCAAGAGATCAAGAATCTTTATTCGGATCGATTTCGAAGGAGTAATTCCATATCCCCAATATTCAAATTACCAAGAAATCAAGAAAGAAGAAAGGCTTCGGAAGAGGCTTAAGCCAAGAGGATTAAAAGAGGACATTCAACTTGGGTTTATAGAGGGAATTGATTGATTAAGCCTCTTGGAAGCTAATTAAAAATTATATTTTCTAATGGAATTTGTAAGCTACTATTTAATTTAAAAAAAGTAGTAGAAAAAAAGTAGTGAAAATAGTAGTAAAAACAGTAATAAATAGCAGTGAAAATTTTGAATTTTTGAAACTAAAAATATAATAATAGCTTAGCAAGGGATTTATAAGCCCCTTTGATTTCAAAAACCTCTTCCTTTTTATATATAAATAATTTCCATAGGATATTTTGACTTAATAAACCCTTTCCCTCTCAAAAATAAATAATTTCCCTTGAAATTTTCCTCCATTTCTTAACCTTTTTCTTCCTGCTCCAATTAATATGCACAAAACACCCTAAGTTTAAGACAATAATTATAGAGTCTCAAGGACTCAAGTAGCTGACACAGGATAGAGATAATTAAGCCGGATTTTCCGTGTTATTTCAGTCCAGGAAAATTACTAAAAAAAAAAGAAATTCAGGAGACGCTAGTCTAGTCGGCTGTTCACCTGAGGGAACTGTGGCTACCCAAAGGTCATTTGTATGCGTCTTCAGTAGCGTTACTCCGGGACATGTCCGTAGTAGCCTTATTATGCAGGGAAGAGAGAGGGAAAAGGAAGAGTATATATCCTATAGGGTCTGAAGAAATCACCATCATCATCATCACTGGTAGGTAGCTTCAGTGTCGCCAAACGCCGCAAGGCCCCAAATCAAAAATTCAATAAACATTGAGGAGGAAGGCAAGGCAGCAGACTGATGGAATGAGCAGAAAATCTGTTTTAAAATTATTTACCATTCCTACGGCTTTGTGTTTTGTAAACTTATGAATTTATTATGCACAACGCGTGGGCGTGAAGACTCTTCGGGCAGGATGTTGGAGGTGCCTTGGCTCCAACTATCAGAGACTTGTCTGGCCAGGAATTATGATTTTTCGAGGCGCCAATTGAGGGAATTTATTATTTTACTTCTATATTGTTGTATATTTTATATTTAAATTAAAGGAAAAATAAGTTGTTAAAACAAAAGAGCACAAAAAAACATTTAAAATAATATATATACAAGTAATAATATATTTAAATGGCTCATTTTTTAAATATAAAACTTTAGAGCTCTCTTTAAAATTTAAAGGCTTCAAAAAAATCGCTTGATTTTTGTTTTGTTTAGTTTTAAAAGCTACCAAAAAATAAATAAATAAATAAAAACAACCCTCACTCCCTCCAAAATTCAGGTAAAAACCTAAGCAACCTTAAATTAATGCATGAGAAGACCAAGGCTTAAGAACAATAAGAGTGAGGAGTCTTAAAAGAGATCAAGTGGAACGGGTAGGTCCGCAGGACTGCCACTTATTCCTGGACAACCTCTCCTTCTCCTCTTTCTTGTACCTTTTGTTGTTTGTTACCTCTTTTTTGGCCTTGCTGTTGCAACTCACGCATTGTAACCGAAGATTGGTAGGAAGACAACCACTAAGAGTTAAGGGTACAGGGAGAGAAAATTTGGGAAAAAAAAACAGGACTACTATATTAGATTCTATAAATTTTAGATTTTTTTAAATATCAATATAATTTTTAAATATATTTTTTTAAATAAGAGTTTGAAATAATATTTGAAGAATATATTATAATATAAATTGATAATATATAATAATATATAAAATATAATAGAGAGATCTCAATGTCCAACTCTAGAAACTAGAAAATAAAAATATTTTAAGGCAACAACATATATTTGGGTACATTTTTTAAGGATTTAAAATCCTAATAAATATATATATTATTAATATATTTCTAGGCCATTATAAAAAACAAATTTATAAATATTTTCTATTGATTAAAATAAATCGTAATCGTAAATAATACAATATTTTTTTATTTTGTATTAAAAAAATAAATATAAATTTCTTAGTATTATATTTTTATATTTATATTTTACTATTTTATATTTATATTTTATTTTTAAATTTCATATTTTAATTTATATTTTCCTCAGTGCATCCTTATCGGCGGGGTGTGGGGCACACAGGTGTGCCAGTGGAGGGTTAAGGCGAAGAGGCCCAAGAAGAAGCCCAAAGAAGACTGCGCCTGTCCATCAAGTTCAGGGAAGACAACGCACAGACAGCTCAAAGAAGAAGCTAAAAACGCGGCTCAAAACACACACATGGATATTAAACACACAGATACAACACACACACACACACTTGGGCAGTTACAAGCCACATACACTAAACGTTTGACGATGACTTTTTGGTCAGTTGCGTTGAGGTTAAGAAACCGCAGTGTAGGAAAAGGCCGAAAGGTAAGGCATTAGGATTGACACTCGACAACAGGGTTTAGAGTTTAGTTAATTAAATGTTATATTTTTTAATATTTATTCATTTATCAAATAAGCTGTTTAGTTAATGGAATATTGTGGTTAAAAGCCATTAAGGAAATTATAATTTTCTTACATTTAAATAATTAACAAAGAGGATTGAGATACTAAATAAGTTGGAACTAAGGTGTAAGGATTTAATTAACAAATTTTAAGCTGTAGAAATAATTTATTTAATTTATTTAATACAATTTTACTCTAAAGTCTGTAAACTGTAATTCCCCATTTACTTAATTATTTACAGAAAATTCTCTCTTACATTGCTTAGTTGTCATGTGTCCGATGTCCATTGTCTCCTGTCTTCCTTCCTCTGTTTTCCTTCCCCTCTCTTACCTAACCCCTCTCCTCCTCCTATGTCTCTTGTGGCCCCGAGTGTAGCCTGTTGCCTGTTCACATTGGCCAAGTTAATTATGGGTTGAGGTTTGCGAACCCAACTCCGTCAGCAGCTGCCAAAAGGCGAAGAAAATGCTGGCCAAGAAGGCAACGGAGAAAACCAGAGGCAACGAAGGAGAAGGAAGGGGGTTTGGGCTAAGGTTGGGGGCTAAATTGCAATCTCTATGAAAATTGGTTCAGCCTGCGGTCGGTGGTCCGATGCCATATGCCATTGTCCACTCTAAAGTACAGTGAAATCTTGAAAT